TGGAATGTCAACCTCCTTCCTAAACTGACCCCCAGAACCAGCTCCGTGGGCCTCAGCCAGCCCGTGATAAAACCAGTCGCATGTGCGTTTGCATCCAAACCACCCGTCATTATGAATCATCTGCCTATGGTTTCAAATTGGACCAAATCACATGAGCGGAGGCCAGATTCTGGAGAGCTGTCCGTCCGGTTGCAGACACGCCCCTCTAATACCGACATGGAAACTCTTTTTATTGTCGTTATTATTACTTTAAAAGTACGTGTTGTTGTTTGTTGTCATGGCAGCCAAAGGAAACTGTGGTCACACGTTGGCGAGCGGACCCCTGGGCGCGAGGCTCCTACTCCTACGTGGCTGCAGGTTCTTCTGGAAACGACTACGACCTGATGGCTCAGCCCATCACGCCGGGCCCTGCTATACCTGGAGCATCACAGGTGTGTGTGTGTGTGTGTGTGAAGAGTGAGGGCTTTTTAACCAAACTGAGGCAGAAAGATTGAATTCCCAACACACATGTGCTGTTGTCTGATTTGATGTTATTTCACAGATGTGAAGGCTTTTTAACCAAACTGAGAACAATCTGTGCTTTTGTCTGATTTGATGTTATTTCACAGATTGATGTGAACAAGTCATGTTTATGTGTTGACTGATGACTTGTGGCAGTTTACCCCACCCCCTCGACCCCCCACTCCCTTTCTCCAGGCCCTCATTTTCTCTTAATTATGTTTTATGTTGGGACAATCCAACCATCCATTTATCTAAACATCTCCTCTCTCTCTCTCCCTCCCTCTCTCTCTCTCTCAGCCCGTCCCTCGTTTGTTCTTTGCCGGAGAGCACACCATTAGGAACTACCCCGCCACTGTCCACGGCGCCCTCGACAGTGGGCTGCGCGAGGCCGGACGCATCGCGGATCAGTTCCTTGGTGCCATGTACACACTTCCCAGACAGGCCACTCCCACAGCTGCCAGCAACCCTCCGCAGGCTCAGCCCACCCCCAGTGTGTGAGGGGGTCCGTGCAGCCTCAGGACGCTGGGAGAAACCATTAACTAAGAGTGTGTGAGAAAAAGGCTGAGGCTGAGACTCCTCCAAAGAACGGGGAACGGCGCTGCCTCTCTGCCTTTTGACTAAATTAACGACACTTGTCCAGTTTATTTTCCAGCTGTATGTAGAATGTGGAATTGAAATTCCACGTGGATTTGGAAGTTTCTCAGATACATTTCTCCAGTAAAAAGAAAAGAGAATAGAGACGGATAAAAACTGCTGGGCTGAAAAGACATCCAAACTTTCTGTTCTTCAACTTTACAAAGGTGTGAATTCTCCGGTCTTCAAAGTGCAGCAGGACGTTCCTCTCGGTCCTGGGAGTGTTTGGGCCTCATGCGGAGCGTGTTTGCAGATGCCAGCGTCTATTTATGTGTCCGACTGAAAGCTATGGAACGACTGGAAACTTCCCTCACCGCGTGTTCTCCCAACCTAAAACCAGATGATCCGCTGGGCCGATGACCAGTTCAGTAGCGCCGTGCCAGTCCACTTAAACCGTCTCCACGACGGTTCCCTCTGTTGCTGTTCCAGAGGCCTGGTCTGAAGACTTAAACAATTGCCATAAAGCTCTTGGTAAAAGACCTGCGGGGTCTCAGCCCTGTCGGTTAGCTCTCAGTCTGTAGAGAATAAAATGTTTGTATCAGAGCCTAAAAAGATGTATGAGCAGGGATGGGTGAATGATTTTGGTTGTTCTGTTTTGACATAGTTTAACTATTTTATTATGTTCTGTCGTTGCATACTTTTGTTTTTTTATAATGTCAATTTTTGTTATTAAAAGAAATAAGAAACTGTGGATCAGTCTTTGTGTTGGAATAATGTTTTCACCCTCTCACCTGCAGAGGCGCTGTTTCTCATTAAATCCATTCCTTGTGCTCGTTCAGTCATCATCATCATCATCATCATGATCATGGCTGCTTCTGCTCTGACCCTCCCATGACCCTCCTTCCTCTCAGGTCTGGCTCTTCCCCAGAGTCTGTGGTCCTGTGTGAGGGGGGTATGGCAGCACAGGGTCCCTGGCAGCAGCTCCACTTAGTGGGGGATCTGGTGAATGACGAGTGTGTGTGGAGGTGTAGGGAGAGCGGGGGGGAAGTTAATGGTCAACCATGAGCTGTCAGTTGTGTTCCAGGGCAGTGTGCCCCCTCTGTTTCCATGCAGCATCACAGTGTGTTTTCATCCCCACAGCTGTGGTTATTATTATCGTGACCAAAAGGAGATGTTTGATGTAACAACAGTAATTTGAGCTCCGGTTTGGACGATAGCACTCGGGTATTTTCACCTCCTGGTAAACCAAGGTTTCGGGTTTGTGTGTGTGTGTGTGTGTGTGTGTGTGTGTGTGTGGCTGTTGACTGGTGAGGTTGTTTTTCATAATAGCCTGCAGCCCACATCAACTGATTACTGAGACGGCGAGAGACATTTAGAGAGAAACCGAGGCTGCGTGTCATGTGATCACTTTCACAGGTACATGTACCTCAACGTAGTATTTTAGGTCAAGTTTTTTTTTTTTTCTTAACAGTCTCCACCTCATTTCCTCACATCCAGCTGCTGACATTAGAATAAAGAGTGTTGTTCCAATGGAACATTTGGTGCTGAAAGAGTTAATATTTGACGTGTATTAAGTCAAAATGTACGTATATGTATCATAATACTTTTTTTTTTAATTTACAAAGAAAATATATTTTAAAAAATCTTTCTCACCATCAGCGCCACCTGCTGTCTTTTGAACAGAGTTACCAAACTCCAAACCATAAATCATAGCAGATCTCACTACAGGCCCTGTTAATGTTTCCTCTTCATCACAGCCATACGTCTGCCATCTTTATAGCCTCCTCCTCCTCCTCCTCCTCCTCCTCCTCAGCTCCTTTGTGCCCAGTCCGTGGCTCTGGATCCTTCACCACAGGTTTCCTCACTCACAGGTGTTAGTAATAACGTTAATGACGGCTGTGTTGATGTCAAACATGCAGAGCTGGAGCGGTGGAGTGAACAGCTACGTCAGCTCCTTCTGACTTTATGGTTCACACCTGTGCTTCTCCTGCAGGGACTGGCTGTTCATTCAAGACAACTGGGGTTTTTTAACATATTTTCTGAACTGTTTTATTTCGACAACAAGATCATTTCAACAAGATGATTCGACAAGTTCCTCAGAAACTGATTCTCCTGCTCCACCAAACACCACGTCCAACGCTGAGCTTGACGTCTCTGGAGGACGGAGGACGGAGGACTCTCCGATCTTCAGCTCAGCTGTCGTTGTCAGGTGAGCAGCGATGGTTACATTTAGTCCAACTGTAAATAAAGAGTCAGAACACGGTCCCAGCCTGGGGTCACTGCTGTTTTCACCTCGGCCTGTCAGTCTCCGTCTGTGCTGAGATTAAAGACTGGCTGCTGACATGAAAAGTCAGGTTTAGGTGGGATTAGATTACAATTAAAGGATTATTTCAGGTAAGTACAAGAAGTGGTGGCTAACACAAGGCTAAGGTGTGTGTGTGAGAGAGAGAGCTGACTGTGCATTCCACAGCAGATTGTGGTTTTCCTCTTTATACCTGAGCAATTTGCCTCATTTGTTTGCCTGCATTTTTGCAAACTGTCAGCTGCTACACACACACACACACACAGACACAGACACACACACACACAGACACACACACAGACTATCTATCTATTTCCTAACCATCCAAGTGGTTTCACTGCGTCCGTTTTTGTCCAGATTTACTTGGCTAACACTAAGCTTTTTCCAAGTGTGTTGCTTATTTGTTTGTTTTATTTTGTTTTTGTATTTGATTGACTTTGAAGAGTCGCAGCATTTATAATAATTTATAGCATTTTAGGGGCTAGCCTATCGTTTTACAAAACTGTTAGCTTCTCTTAGCTAACCCTTTCACGTTTGTCTGTCTTTTAGCAATTGCTGTGCTAGCCTTTAAAGAAATGTTTTTTGATTCCTTAACCCGTGCCAAAAAATCACACATCAGTACTGTTTTACTAACAACAAATAAATCCTACAGATTGTTGATTTAAAATGTGGGAAAATAAATGTTTTGCTGTTTCTTTGACTGCACTTGTATACGAAAAGCTAAAATGTTTAATTTCCCTTTGGGATCAATAAAGTATCTATCTATTTAATAGGAATCTGTACATAAAGAAGGCAACTTTGTTATAGTTTAATATTGATATATAAATATATATATAGCATCAATAAATAAAACTCCTTTGTGATAAATATTTAAATCTGTGATTTTCAACTTGTGGCCTGTGGGCCAAATCCAGCCCACCAAACCATCCAATCCGGCCCACGACTAGATTCCAAAATTATGAGGATCTTTTTTATTTGAAGTTATGTGTCTGGCCCGCAGGGGGCCCACTGACAAATATAGTTAGTGAGCTCAGATTTACACCTTGTTTTAAACTAGTGACTCACACACACACACACACACACACTCAGGCGTTATGTTACAAACAGGTTGTTTTTCTTTAATTTTTATTGGAATACATATGGTCTGCTGTACAGTTGGCAGCTGGGAGAGACCTACATGCAGAGTGAGTCGGCCACAGTCGGGTTAAAACATGCAGAACGGATTAAATGAAAAACAGAAGAGAAGAAAATCATATCAACAACCTGACACCGTCCATCTGGAGTCAGCCAGAGGCAACGACTAATCCTATCTGATTTCACACACTGTGATGGTGTGTTTGATACGTCCATCGATCGATCAGTCGGTCGATCAGTCAGTCGGTCGGTCGGTCAGTCTGTCGGTCGATCAGTCAGTCAGTCTGTCTGTCAGTCGCAGGGGGCCCACTGACAAATATAGTTAGTGAGCTCAGATTTACACCTTGTTTTAAACTAGTGACTCACACACACACACACACACACACTCAGGCCACATGTTACAAACAGGTTGTTTTTCTTTAATTTTTATTGGAATACATATGGTCTGCTGTACAGTTGGCAGCTGGGAGAGACCTACATGCAGAGTGAGTCGGCCACAGTCGGGTTAAAACATGCAGAACGGATTAAATGAAAAACAGAAGAGAAGAAAATCATATCAACAACCTGACACCGTCCATCTGGAGTCAGCCAGAGGCAACGACTAATCCTATCTGATTTCACACACTGTGATGGTGTGTTTGAAACGTCCATCGATCGGTCAGTCGGTCGATCAGTCAGTCGGTTGGTCGGTCAGTCTGTCGGTCGATCAGTCAGTCAGTCGGTCAGTCTGTCAGTCTGTTGGTCAGTCTGTTGGTCAGTCAGTCTGTCAGTCTGTCTGTCAGTCAGTCTGTCGGTCAGTCTGTCGGTCAGTCGGTCAGTCTGTCTCCTGCTGCACCTACATTTACACAAGGTATTAAACTCTTCTGTCTGTGGATGTTTGTCATCACAGGAGGTCAGATCCACTGTAATCACATCAGGTGGTTCTACTGTTAGATGAAGTGTGTGTGTGTGTGTGTGTGTTACACTTATGTACATATACAGTATCTGTGGGGTCTGCAGGCGTCTTTCTTTGGCAGCACATAGAAAACATACAGCATGGATTAAAAGATGAACAAACCCTGAATTTATGAAGGAGAACAGAGCGGGGGGGGGGGGGGGGGGGGGTACTGAGCAGACCCCGATGAGACGAGGGGGGAAAAACAAAAAACCGCTGCAGATCTGTTCAGCTCTGATAAAACACACACACAGCTCCTCTCCTCGTCTCTGCCTCATCACCAGGCTGAGAAATGTCATGAAAAAAAAACAAACAAAAAAACACAAATTGCAGAAAAAAAAAACTCTCCAGGAGTGTAATATCAAAGAGGAAAAAAACAAAAAAAATAACACATTTCCTTAAAATCCAGATGGACAATAGTTTATATTTCAAATATAAGGCCCACTTTACAAAAGTACAAGATTTTCCTTAAATAAAAATCTATCCTTTAAAATAAGACATCTTTTAAAACCATACAGAAAACAACAAACAAAAGAAACTCTCTAATTAATATTTCCCCTTTATTTCAGTATTCCTGAAGGCAGAATTCCCAGCTCGGGAAACTCTGGCTCCGGCATCCATGTCTGTAAACTGGAAAATACTGCGGAATGATTTTTTTGGCACTTTGTTTGAAGGCGGACATGCAGCCACTCATCAGGTAATACAACAGCGGTCACTCATTTCACTGCCAATTCTGTTTTGTTCTTTAATACTTTAATTTTGGCTGGTGCGAAGACACGGACCTGACTGTGGAACATTCAAGAAACAGATGCTGGGAATTCTGGGAAACATTACGACCACGGTGGACTGAAGTGGAGGGTTAGTTCTTTAACGTCCTAAAGTTAAGTGCTGGTTAAGTGCAGATGGACCTCTGGTTTCTCTCTGTCTGAGCTGCAGCGACCTCTGCTGACCACAGTCACAGGGTTCCTGACCAGTCTGTAGTTTGTATTTAAGCAGAAAATAAATCTTTCAACACTTTGCCTTCTAGGAATTCTCATCATCTGCAGTCGGGTCCAAAAGTTTAACAGAAATGAGTGAAAAAATAACCGTCTTTCCTCCAAGACAAATGGACGCTAATTTGACTTCATGCACTGTCATTAATTGGTAGTGCAATACTTCACCCTCCCACATGGTGGCCAGGTCCTGTGTCTGTAATTGTAATACTTAAGGTGATGAAATATTCTCTTTTTCAACTACTGTGACTTTATCTCCCAAACCAGAGCGACCTGCACCTTTTTCCTGTTACTTTCCTCCGCAACCATGTCCTGCAGCCACACAGTGTCGTCCATTTCTGATGTACGGTCTAAACCACTCACTGTGTCACAGCACATTAGACGTAGCGTGGAAAATTTCACTTATTTATTTTTTTGCAAATAATTTGTCTTCCTTCGTCTATGCGACAGCGACAGGCAGAACAATAAAATAGTTTTCCACTAGGTGGGAGCAAACGGCTATTAAAGCTAAATAAGAGAGCGAGAGACTCAGAGTTGTTGAAGATCTTTCCTTAATTCCTGTGAGTACAGTAAGGTTGTTCAACTAAACAGGCACAGGTTCTACACTGGGGAGGTAAATTATTAAATTGTGTATACTTTTTTTTGTGACAGTTTGGTTTGGTGGTATGTCGAGGAATTTAAAAAAAAAAAAAAAATGCCCTGGATAAATTTCAATTGGGGAAAGGACCTGATCCAAAGCTGTTACAGGTCAAGGATCAGTCGCTCAGATCAAGCTGTTCCTGGGAAATATATAAACTCTTCACTCAGGTCCCTCATGGACAGTCATGGGATTCCACCATGTCGACACTAAAGGCTGTGGTATCAAGCACTGAGAACAAGGACGTCTGAAGATGAAACTGCTCTTTACTGCTATGGGTCCTGTGAGGTTTCGGTGGATGCAGTGGTTGCATGGTCTGGTTTGCAGTGATGGTGTTAGTGCAGTTCGGGGCCTTGTAAGGAAGAACGGCAGCCGTCGGTAGCAGAGGACGGAGTTGAATCTCTGACCTTTGAAAACGCTCGTCTTTCTTTGAAGCCCTCCGATGTGTCATAAAAACATACAAGTTCCGACAGCTGCGCTCTTCCAGAGACCTCCTACGTTAGGGGTTCAAGATGTGGCCTACAGTGGAGAAGGTCATTAGAACAATGAGGGAATCTGCAACGTTCCGAAATGCTACTTTGAACAGGCAGTTAGTGGACTTCAAAGGCCGGTTCATGTGGTTATGGGATAAAGAAAAGGTTTGATGAATCTGAAAACATCTGTCCGTCAAGAATTTGTCTGTTATTAGAATCATAGACTATATGTAAGAAACGGGAATATGGACTACATCTATTAACATACCCATAAACACACAATGAAATATGTCCTCTGCTTCTAATCTTTGAAACAGCATAACAGGGAGCTGGTCTAACATTTAACTGTTGAGTTTATGTCCAAAAGTGTTCGTTTAACGCCTTCTTTAATTAATAAAATGCAAAGATTATGATCCTGTTGAGAGGAAAACGGACGATAAATCATGGTCGCATTATTGACAGACACTCTGACCGACAGCTAAAATATCTAGAAGCGCAGTTACATTGAAGTTACGTCTTTCATCCAGTGGAGCCACGTCCATTTCATTTGTAGGGTCTAAGTGTAGTCCATAAATATATATATATATACTGTATATACATATATTTTTTCTTTGGGCATCTTATGGTTTTGCTAATACAACTGTGGAACAATGTGGCTGGAGATTGGACTAAATGATGGTCTACAAAACGTGGTTTAACCCACATCCAAATAGGCCACATGTTGATGGTTTGATGTTTGAAGTGAGGAGAGTCAGCAGTGATTTAGAAAACCCAAAGGGTCAGGAGGTCACGGTTTAGGCCTGTAGAGGGCAGCAGTGTCCGACGCTGCAGACCTGAGTTGCACCATACAGTGAACCTGACCCTGGTGACGTCAGGCCTTCAGATAAATAAAGCCAGCGCTGACGGACTCGTGTATCTGCAGGATCTTACGACACACCACTTCACGTGTCGACTCTCGGCGACACCCGCGCAACCGCCAATGACACACCGGCAACGACGCGCCGCTGCGGACCACCACGTGCGGCGCTGGCAGCTCCGCTGCTGCAGAACAGGACACTTGATATTCTGCTGTGTTTGAATTATCTCCACAACAGATGACGCCGCCAAACCACCCGTCTGCAAATCTCCTGTATTTAGAAACACTCGAGCTAAGACATGAAGACCAGATTAGTTACAACCCCGACCTTTGACCTTTGCGCTACCCAGGGAGCCGGCCATCACTGTCTGCTGACGGCCCTCTGGCTTTCAGTTGAACCAAACAACGATTTGAAAATGAGAATCCAAGGAAGATAGAGAAAGACGAGGAGGAGGAGGAGGAGGAGCGTGGAGGGGACACTTGGCCGCTACGACATGGCTTAAAAGGAAAATTGGAGCCGGTTTAAAAAGAAGAGAGATTATGGAGTAAATGGGAATTGCTCTTGGTTACGGAGAAGAGTGGCAGCGGGAACAATGACAGGGAATATACAGTATAATCATGAAGAGTCTGGCACGAGCAGACGCAGGACGTCTGATCTGTGTCTGCTCTACCCCAGAGCCAACGCTGACCATGAAGTGGCCTCATGGCAACCGTCCACCAGGCCGACTCTTGACAGACAAATTGAGAGGATGGAGTTTTCTGGGCGTTGTGACCTACATTTCTGTACAGCGTGACTAGAAAGCTGTCAAAAGTTGGGTTAGAAAAATAATAACCTTTTCTCAGGGAACACAGTTTTGGCCTCCGTCACCGAGGAGTTCCCTCTTTTACTACTTTCCATGTAATTATATATTACATATTATTAACTTTATATTATATTATTATACACCAGCACTCGGTGTGCCGATTTATGTATCAGCACAGCATGTGATTATATACAATTTAGTTGGGGAAAATTAAAGAAATCCAACCCTATTTGGACGAGTTTCTCCTCCTCAGTAGGTCCTAAGGCACAAACACTGACGTAAACAACTATAGAAACGGAGAAAAATGAACTGTTTTTCAAGGTGAAAACTCGGCGGTCCAACACCCACTCAGTCGTCCTTCTTGTCTCTGTTTGTGAACACAGAGCTGCAGGGACAACACACCGACACCCCGTGAGGACAGGAGTGAAACGGCACGTCTGCAGCTGCAACGACAACCTCCGACCTGGACGACCTGGAGCAATCGGTTCCAATACAAAGTCAGAGCAACTGATGAAAACACAGGTGCGTGTCTGCCTCTCCATCCAGCTAGGTTTATACTACACATTAGTGTCATGTTGCATAGCTCTTGTAATGACGTTTTGAGCAAAAAGAAACAACTGGGTCGGTGTTGGACCACTCGGAACTCTTTGACCTTGAACAGCACTGTTTGTTCAAAATGACCAGATTTTTCATTCAACACTTTTGAAAATGAGAAGTTTTACGATTGGCCTGAATAACGAAAAAAATCAACGTTTCCCGTCTGTCTGAACCGAGACGTGACTGATGCACAGGTTTGATTCCAAACACTTCCCTAATCTGTACTAATCACATAACATCACATTATGGACAAATATGAAGCAGGAAATTTAACTGTAAATACAAAAAATAAAACAAACAAACCATAGACCGTATATAAGAAATAGATTCAGTCATGTTAATGAACCGTTGTGGGCCTTCCCTCAGAATCAGGTTCTGACTTCTGCGAGAGGTTTACAGTACTCAAATAAAGTCAGTTCATTTTAGTACGACCACTTCCATTGGCTGGGTCCGTATCCATTTCTTATATAGGGTCTATGGTGGGAGTGAGAGGAGAGAATAAATCAGCAGAGTAAAGCAGTTGGCAGCAGGCTTCAAAAACACCAAGTGTTTCTGCAGAATCCACATGTTGAGCATTTTTTACAGTCATGGTTTAAGCCACTTGATCTGCCGTAGAAGAGATTCAGGAAATGAAACAGTGCCGTCACCGCGGACTGTAGCGTCGTTCGTACGTTGTTTTTCATCAAGCATTATCCGTCATGCTGCTGCAAACCTTCTCTGACATATCTGCACCTTTACCTTAACAGATCACTATTACTGGCCAAACAGATATCAGTTTTTGTCATGTTGATATTAAGTGACGTGTGAAAATATTCCTCTGGTGATGTCATTAATGATGAGTGAGTCGCACGGCGAACCCAGGCACAAACGAGCTGTTGTGTCACCTCCTTATATTTCCTTTGACCGGCAGGTATGTACACAGTATATACATAAATATATATGTATTTACAGCAGCACTATATTTGTCCTGCCTGGCCACGTTTGCTGGTAATGAACAGTTTGATATTTAAAAACAGCAAGTTTTATTTCTGCCAAGTTTCTAAAAATATATACCAGGGAAAATAGCTGCAATAGTTCTGAAACAAAGCACCGCTGAACTTAAGAAGTTTTTTTTTTTTTGAACATGTGAATGACATTGCGTTATGTGCAAACCATGAATATTTTTTTTTACTTGTGCGGGTGATGAGAAAAGGATGATGCAGAGCAGGAGGTGAAGTGAAAGGAATTAAAACAAAGTCTGATGAAAGAAAAAAACAAAAATATAAATACGGTCCCAGACTGTCAGGTGTGTGTGTGTGTGTGTGTGTTTCTGGTACAGCCGTACTTATGAGGACATTTGTTTGGAGAACTACCATGGTTCTGGGGACGCGTGTCATCAAGGGGACATTTTTCAGGGCCCAACTGATTGACAGGTTATTTTGAGCTTCAAGATTGAGTTTGGAGTTCCTACAGTTGGGAAAGTCAGATTACAGCTCAGGTAAAAAAAATTCTGATCAGGGTATATATTTATAATTGTTACGTTTCGGCTGCAGGCTAAGGAAATGCGTTATGTTTATGTGAAGTGCCCACAGACCACGAAACCCTGTGAGTTTGTCCTGAACATGCAGCCAATCACTGAACTGACTTCAAGACATGCAAATGTTTCATTGACAGAAGCAAAATTGACATGAGTTCAGTCCTCATTTGTTGAACTGTTAAAATCATAATGAAGAGAATGGGGAGATATGTGGAAGCAAAAATGACCAACAAAAAATGGCAACTTGTTTCCTGGTTTTGGTCACATTTTAAAGTGACGTTTTTTTGGAGTTAACTCTGCGTTACGATCCAGCCCTAGGAGATGAAGATGATTTTTTTTTTCCATTTTTAAATACGGATGATTTAGTTTGTTCCAGCATTAAAGTTCCTTCGACAAAGGCATGCTCACAGTTTTCAGTTCATCCTCCTCCAACTCCTCGCAGACACAGAAGAAAGAGAGAAATCTCCAGTCGATCCAAGCGTGCGCTCCTCTCCTTTGTCAAATTTTAGGATTATACTATGTTACATCCAACACAAAAAGAAGCAGAAGAGGAAACATGGGCTGGTGAGGTGACGTCCACTCTGTTGGACAGGAACCGTCTTTGTTTTACCATTATTATGCGTCTTTGGGGACGGACAAAGGTCCGCGCAGATGGAACGGTTCACGTCTCCACGTGACCTCCGGGGTCAGCTGTACGGCGTGGTGTTTAAACGTAGCCATGACGCCGTTGGTCTTTTCTGTTATATAAGCTGCAGATGTTCTCGGTTGGACATGGTGGAGGTGATTCTGTGGATGTAGGTGGATGAGAGACTGTTCGCCTCCGCTTTTGTCATGGAGAGCGTGATGGAGTGCTGCTAATAAAACGAGAGAACAAAGAAAAATGTAAAATCTGTACTCAACCGTTCTACAGTGTTGCACTACATGGTGAAGAGTTGAGTCTGTTGGTTTAGAAGTAGTGGATTTTGTTGTTGGAAATTTGACAAAATAAAATCCTAAAAAAAATGGTTATATTATTGTTTCACATTCTACATGTTACCATAGAAATCCTCCTGAAATATTTTTTAATTTTGAACATTTCTACAACTAGGTGAATTTCAGGTGGTACTTGGGGAAAATTCATATTTTCACATGTACATTTTCAATTGAATAAATCTGTAACAAACCATGGACAATTAATACAACATATAAACAAACATTTCTAAACATCTCTGCTGTGGTGGAAGCTAACAGTGAAGGCCTAGGCTGTTGTATTCTACTGTTGGTCATCATGGTCGTACTCAGAGAGATCAATGTTTTCTCAGGTGGTACAGAGTAGAAAAAGCTGGAGAACCACTGAACTAGAACTTTCCAAGCCCTGAGAGACCATCGTACCTGTCGTCTTTGCCGTTCCGACCTGACCAGTCTAATGGTATTCCGCCTGTCGTTGGCTCCATGGTTTTAACCCCGTGCCACTTTTTCCCTCTGCTCTGGCTGCTGAGCCTTGACCCCGGCTGGACCACTGCTCTCCTCCCTTGGAGGCGGAGACAACGGGCGTCTTGGGAGCTCGATCATAAGAGGTTCCCAGGTTGTGGGAGTCCCCGCTGGACAGATGTCGTCTCCAGGAGGCCGAGCTTTGGCTGGTGTTGACACCTGGTTCCACACCATCGGCAGCCTGTAGGAGTCAGAGCATGTTACAGTCACACTGGATCTGTGTTCACCCTGTGGGCTGGGCTGGCCTTGGCTTTGGTGGGAAATGTAAACGGAGGTCGGTTTGTTTCCGTGTAGAAACTCTGGGCATTTTGTTTAAATGGTTCGAGGCCATGTTAGGACTTTTTGCATTGAATGCATGCTGTTTATGTAAGCTGGTGTGTGACAAGGGATGTCTGCCATGTGGTCGTTTGCCAGGGGAAAAATCCCTGACCAGAAGCCCCAAACATACCCCAAACTGAGAGATTTGTAATTTGGTGGGCTGACTAGAAAACAAATGACCAAGTTACTAGTCTGTGGTCGTACGGATGCACGTTTTCCTCTCTCGACCTCAGTAACCCCGCTCTAAAAAAGTGAGAGTTAGATGACGATGCAGTTCCGGCAGCACCCAGCTCTCCTGTAATTTCATCTTTTAAAAAAAGCACCATAATTAGTGACATTTGGTGGGTTGGAGTTGGCTTCTGTTGCACTTTTAGAACACACTCGGGCTAATTGGCTTTAATGGAGCCCTGCTGAAGGGCCTTTCACCATCTCCTGGGGTGGGAGACAGGAAATAAGTCACTGGTGAAGTCTGCCAAAGGGGCGGGGTCAGTGTGGTCACTTCCTGCTTCAGTCATTTGGGGAGGAAATGGCAGAGTGGCATGATCTCCTTCTATGGTGTTGTGTGTTTCTGCTGCAGGTCTGTGGGGTTGCATTGTCACACACTCTCAGGGCTTAGGAACGTTTACGACGGGGACTTTACGTCACGTGTGTCAAAGTGATAATGTAAAACTGACAAGAGGCAAAACACCATAAAAAGACAAACCAACGTATTATAAAAATAACATAAGATAACGTTTGATTAGTGGATTAACTTTTACCAGAAAGATAAAATAGTTGATAAAATATAAGGACAGTGTAAATAAACCTCTTTAACAAAATCACAAATGATATGGATGAAAATATATCCAGGTCAAAAACAAATAAAATAAAAACAAGTCAAGGTAAGCCAGAAAATAAGTTTGTAAAAACTAGGAGTCAAAGTCAAACAGTATAAAATAAGAGACAGAACTTAATCTACACTGTTGTTAATCATAAGATCATCTAAACCAGACATGGGAAAACTAAGGCCCGGGGGCTGATCTATCCAATCTTTGCCCAATTTGCCTAATCTAACCAAACAGCTGCCAAAAAGAATTAGCAACATGCCAAACTCGTCCAAATTATATAATAATTTAGTATTGTGATTATACTTCGCATTTTAACCCTTATGCATGACTTTTACATGTCATTTATCTTAGTTCACACAAACGCTCCATCTATCTGCTCCTGACTTGCACCCCCCCCCCCCCCACGCATTTAGGACCAATGGCAGCCTGCGAGTCAAAAAGTTGGCCAACATCTAATCTAATTAAACAGCTGCCAAAAAGAATTAGCAACAATTACCCAACAGCGAACACTAAAGTAGGCAAAAGCTAAATGTTAGCTTCCATCCAAAAAAAAAAGAAAAAAAAAAGTGTGGCCAGAAGAGAAAAATCTTGTCAGTTACCAATCATTAAACCAACGTAGCTAAAACTCAGCCAAGCACATACTACATCATCAGACCAAAAATAGCAATATAAAGTTAGCCAAAACAGTAGTAAAAGCTAATGGGTCAAAGTAAGTCAATAAATAAATTAAAAAATAATATTTATCAAAACATCTGTCAGGATACTACTACCATTATTGTTGATATTTTTTTTAAAAATGCAGAGGCTTTGTTGAAAAAGTTGCTTTGAGTCCTGTGTACTGTACTCACACAGTGAAGTGGTTTCTGATCTTCTCGACTCTCACCAGAAAAGAAAAACTGACTATTTTCCAAAATGTCATCTTTTTAAGTATAATTTACCTCCTATCTGCAAATCTGTCATTCAACTGTGGAACTTTAGGACCAGACGAGTTTCCAAGAGCTCACTTGGAAAACCAAAATACCAACTGTGAGAAGTCTCCATCAGAAAACAGAGGCAGAGCCAAACGATTAAAGAAATAACACACGTATAATTTCAGAAAAAAAAAATCCCTTCTCTAAATCCGTCTGCCGCTGGTCCCACGCTCTAATCTCTGGAATCGCATCTTTCTGCCAAACCAAACTCTTAAATCTTCTCTCCAGCAAGACGGTGTCCTTGACACACAGGTGAAATATTTAGAATTGTAGGTTTTATTAGGGCACATGATGATCTGTTTATTGAATATCTTTATAATGGCATTTCTTTATTAGTCATTGATGTGCCAGAGGTTTGGGTTTTTTTTTTTTTTGTAGTCTGGGTCACGTTAAGGAGAAGGGTGAACTTCTCAGAGCAGCCCAGATCCCAAACTTTACATCAGGGCTGCAGCCACTGGTCTCTGATTCAACAAAGGATGTTTTGGTATCTGGTTCATGAGCCATATCGGCCCCGTTTTCTCCAGCCAAACATAAGTTCACAGCCCATTCATGTACAGCCTGAGGTTTCTGAGAAACTACAGGGGAGAGGGAAGTAGTACTGTACATGGCATGCTAAGCTGTACTTCAAAAATATGGAGTCACTGCAGTAGAAACGTGTGTAGAAAGCTGTAGATGATCTGTTCCTCTGACTTGAACTACAAGGCCCTTTAAGAAGAACCCTAGAAGAGTTCAAATGTACCATATGCTGTTGTTAGCGGTCTGTGAGTCCTGTCATTATGGATACATGTCAGGACATAGTATGAGCCCACAAGGCCGGAGTTGTCCTGACAGATGTGAACACACCATAGTGGCTAAAAACAAGTGGGGCAGGTTGTCGGAGGGTGCATGACAAATGCTCACAATAATAACACAAGTGAAGTGCAACATGGACTAGTTCTTATTACCCTGGGAGTCTGAAGTTTAAATGATGGTTATATTCCTTTACAAATAGTGTGAGCTAAATGGTAAAACTTGTATCAATATATCATTTTTGCTAATAGGATTAGTGAGTATATTTCAAATTTCATCGTTGCGGGACAATTGCATTGTACTTGTAATGATATTTTTGGCCTATTTAGAGGCAACAAAAATGGTCTAGTATCTGTGTTATTGATCCACAAAACAAAGATAATTGTCAAGAAGGACAAATGTGTCTAAGACTCAAAAATAAGGACACTGGTCCATAATCCAAACAAATTAAGTTTATCTTAAAAAAGCAGATTGACTGTGACATATTCACATTAAAATTGAGTAACTGTTACTAATAATTAAAAAAGTCATTTCATGCTCAAGTGTTATCTAAAAACTACGTACTTGACTAGTCAAAGATTATTACAAAAAACGTTGCGGCGGTATGTTATCCAGATAATCCACTGTATATAAAAGGTTAATCTGATCGACCTGTGCTGCTAAAGTCCAAGTCCTTCTTTTGTAGTCGCCACAATCATTGATATCTGACGCCTTCATCGGCAATGATAAATCATTTGCGTGAGTGATGACCAGAAGAGGACAAAGATCAAGGAAATTCAATAAATCATTTGCGGAGTGATGACCAGAAGAGGACAAAGATCAAAGGATCAACAAAGTCATTAGGATTTAGTCTCATGGGGAAAACGAATACTGTTGGTTATGGATACAGTTTACCCTCCAGTCTGAACCAATGAGGTTCTACAGTCAAGGTGAAAGGGCATCTGGGAGTTTTACCCCCGTTTACCTGCCCATGACCTTTGAATAGAATAAAATAATACCATCAAAAGCTGATGAAATAATTCCCCCGTGAGCTCACAACAGAAAGATAATCAATACGGTAGTTAGGTGGCGCTGCAGCAGGGCGTTCAAAGATACTGAAGAACGTTGTCTACCCTCTGTGGAGACTGTGGATCAATACTGTTTTCTTGCGGTCGGCAGCAGGACGGTTTTAAAATACCAGTTGTTTTGAAGTGAGGGTCAGGGTTCGCTTCCAACCAGGCTCTGCCAACTCAAAGAGAATTTCGGAGGAACGGCGACCGAAAACACAACTGAATGTGACTGTTTATATAAAGCGCGGAGACTTTAATGTGTCTCCTCTGAGCCAAGGACTACAGATACACAGTGAAAAGTGATGAATGGGACGTTTCTTCATAATGACCAGCGACATTCCTCTGCCGTCCCTACTAAATGCCTCCATCTGCAAACTCGAAATAACTCAACGGTCTTCTATCAACCTCTGACACTGCAATCACAAACTAATCCCAACCTCCCACTGTCATAACTGCAGCTGTATTTATCCAAACCTCTTTGGAACGGACGCTTTCTTTTTAGACCACTGAAATGTTCTGCAAATCCAAACCAAGACGATGGGCTCCGCTCCAGGACGTGCTTCAAAAGCTCGCTCGTGATCCAAATATTTTTTTTAGTTCTGTAGCAGTTTTTTTTTTTAATTTTTTTTTGCTCGTGATTTCGATCCAAATGATCAGTTTTTACATAACGTATCAGGGTAAATAAGGTTTCGTTATTCCACAGAGTCAGTCCGGTGGGGGGGGACAGAGGACAAAACAAAAAAAGTTAAAGCAGGGACGCAAGTAAGTACTTGAAGCTACTACTGAATAACTACTTCAGTGGCAGCAACTGTTCAGACTTCTGGGGTCGTTAGAGGCAAGTGATGTCGTACGAGGTCCAAAAGGAGAAGTGTGTTCATCAAACTGAGCAGATGCTCCTCGATAACCGGAAATTTCTTTAAGAATTCCCATGAATAGATAAGTGTTTTTTAGGTTTTGTAAAATACAGCAATACAATAATTCATTGTCACTGCAAAATCATGTGGCACAGCAAAAATCGGTTAGCAGCTCTAGCTAACCTGTGAACGCAAATTACACAAAATGCTAGCATATATAAATTAACATCTGCGTGTGTTCGTGTTAAAAAAAAATAAATTAGCAAGTACGACGACGCAATTTAAGTGCGGTCTTGTAGCAGCAAACTTAAGTAGCAGAACACTTGAAATTGCTAACAGTAGTTAGTCAGACTGAAAATGTGTATGATGATCTAAAAATATTCCTCAGTCTTCGCTACTGAGTCTTTGCGTGAGACTAAAAAGTTCAAGCAGTAACGTTAAGTCGATGCCGTGTGTTCGTAAGTTTGTACAAAGCGGGTATCGATGTCGAACCACTGGAGGAGTGGATTTAATTCAATTAAAAAAGAAACTGAAACCTGTGTCTGTGTTTTTTTTAAACTTATTTCAAACGAATATTTACTGGTTTCTCTGCTTCTCTAAAACATTAAACTGAATATCTTTGGTTTTTGCACAAATCAAAACATCTAAGGACAACATGGCGCTGAGGTTTCAGGAACGTGGAGCTACGTTCTCCAAAAAAATGTTCTGCATTTTCCTACAGGACTAAACGACTCGGTGACTAATTGTAGGCCCAATCATGTACAAATAACAAATATAACGACGGATCACAACGGAGGCCAAAGATGAAAGATGAGACAACAGACTTTTGGCGTGAGTGTGTTTTTGCGAGTGTGTGTGTGTTTGTCTGTCTCCTTGGCAGCATCCACTTTATTTATAGCAGTATTTTTACCCAGAGGGCCGCTGGTCCAGCCAAGTTACTTATTCAAAATGACAGACAGACATGTTGTCGTAGCCATGGGGTCATTTAACCACGGTGTTATTGTAGCGACAGTCACTTGACACTAAACAACAATGTCGCCCATTAGCTGTTAATCCTTCATCTTTGTTGCGACGACTATCAAATTCCACATTCCATTTAGCAGCATCTGTGTTCACAGGCTCCCGGTGAACTCACAGGTGTTGTGTCATTTTTATTTATAAATGTATTCTTTTGTCCAATTCAGCTAGCATGTAGGCTAACTACTACTGGTTTAATTCACTCTTATTTATGTTTTACCTGTGGAGCTGTTCTGTTCTGGCGTGGTTAGTATTTTGAGGCTAACGTTTAAGCTAACAGTAATTAGCTTACTTGGTGTGTGAGAGCGAGGCTGGTAAAGCACAAAAAAACATTTAATTCAATATTAAATTTAATTGCATTGCAAACGGTATTGATATTTGAATGATCATTTGTATAATTTAATCAGTTAGCTAAATAGCTTATTAAGGCTATTCTGGATACTGTTTGTGGCTAGTCAGTATTGTATTTATTGGCTCTGTCAGTTACCAGTTTTTTGTAGCTATTTTTTTTTCAGTTTATCACATTAAGGTACTTCTGGTTCTGTATTTCTGTGAAATGTTAGTAAATCTCGAGAACTCACTTTACTAAGTCTATGCTATTTTTGTGTTAGCGTTACTGGATTAGTTTAGTTGTGCTAATAACATTTTAGACATTCTTGTCTAACAATTATGTATCATTTTGCTACTTTAACTTTTTTTAATTGATTTTGCATTTTTTTCACCTTCTATGGACATTTCTGGGCCGACTTGTGGTCATCCTTTCACTCTATTTTGCTATTACTTTGCCAAACATTCAGCTATTTCTGGCCCTCATTTTCTAATTGTCTTATGACCAAAATTATTATTTTTTTGGCTAACTTTTAGCAATTACTTGGCTTGCATTTATCATGTGTTTTTTTTTTATTTATTTTTTTTTCTTTAGCAATTACTTGTCTTGCATTTATCATGTTTTTTTTTTTTTTTACAAGCATCGTTTTTAAGAGGCCAGGTGATTAAGAGTTGCTGTAGCAAATTCCTTTGTGTTATAAAAAGTAAGAGAATCTGTCCAGACGTGTGTGGTTTGAATTTAATAGATTACAAATTAAACTTTAAAAGCCTAGTTTTGCTCCAAAAACAGTGGTTAAAATACATGGCATACATGTGCCACTTGACTATATATTGAGTGCAGTGTGACAGGAGGAGGAGTCCAGGCCCAGGTATGTTTTTTTAGTGTACTGATTCTGTGTAGGTGATGAGTGGACGTTCAGGACAGTTTGTGTTGAGCAGCACTGCAGTCACTGGCAGAAACACTATGATGTGGTTGTGCATTTAAATACAAGGGCGCTATTTTCTCCTCAGTAATGTTCCCTGAACTGCTTTTCCCCCAGTTTGGGTCTTTTTACTTTCCATCCTCAGCCTTTTCTTTTTGTCCCACCCTTTTCTTTTTGTCCTCACTGGGGCAGCAGGAGTGGGACCTACAGAACTGCTTCGCTAGGTTTGAATTTACAGAGCCTGGCGTCAGGGAAAAATACAAGCTGAGCTTGCATGCAAAGTGGAAGTCCTGGGAGCGGAGCCCTGAGGCAGTACTTTCCGGACTTTTATCCTCAAGACAAAACTACTTGCAGGCCATAAACTCCACCTGTACAGACAGTCTTATCTGGTGGAGACTTTTTTTTTTATAAGCTACATACGCAGAACGATCTGAGGACTGTGTTTGCTTTTGTTGAGAGGGACGGACATTTACGTTGGACACTTATTGTAAAACAAACTTAAAAGATCAAGTGTTAATACTGTAAATATCCGTTGTAATAAAAGTGATAAATGGACCAGGTAGCTGTGGAGATAACTGATGTTTGAAGACGTCTATGAGGACCAACGGTTTCATAATATTCCTGTTTGTATATTTATTGGCTCAGTTTTCAGCCTTTTTTATTTAGGGAGTATGAATGAAAAGTGTGTTAGTCAGCACATTAGTTGCATTAGTTACTGGAACAGTAACAGTACCAGTGTATTTGTTCCAGAGACTGATTTTGCAGGTCAGACAACATTTCAGATCCTGCCAAAATGCACTTGTTTTTTACAAAATATTAATCGAAATGAATTTTTTATTTTTATTATCTATGGTAAAAAGACCCAATAAAAAGCCTTCTTAAAGGACCACGGCTGTTGGCTGGTGGAAACTCTGCTGATGCCAAGCAGCCAAACCAGATGTGAATGACTTCACTCTCTTGGTTGTCCTACCGTTGCTTGTTGTGTTGTGTACGATCGTCCCCAGGACTGCGAGGTGACAGGGGGGTGAGGTATGGTTCTGCTAGGACCGCCGGTCTCCACGGAGGGAGACTGGGAATGTTTTCCTCTGCGCAGCACTGGCTCCTCCGTTTCTCTGCTGTTACTGTACGGGTTGTTGATCCGGCGCATGTACACCTAGGGGGAGCAAAAGAGCAGCATGACGTACCCCGCTGACTGTGAAGACCGTGTTCTCAGACAGTGACTGACTCACCTCTGCAGGACTGGGTTTGGCTTCCTTCTGTGCCACAGCGTTCCCACCAGAATTATTCATCGTTTCCTCCAGGTCAAACGTAGTGGCTCTGTACGCTCTCCACGTCGTTGCAGCTTCAGCCTCGTCTTCAGACCCAACATCTGCCAGTGACCGGAATCCCCGTGCCCTGGCCGTCTCGTCCCCTGACGGCGCTCCTCTGTTCCTCCAGGTGCTTCTCACAGTCACATTCCTGGTGTCTGGGGAACTGTTTTCAATCAGGGGCTGGCTTTGTCGTCTCCAGCTGGTGACAGTCGTGGTGGTGCTGCTGCTGTTGCTCTCAAAGGTTGAGTCTGCGTCGTTGAACACCGGAGAGGTCACGTCTGGACACTGGTAGCTGAAGTTGCTGCGTTGAGAGGACAGATGACTGGTGGTGGTGGTGGTCTCCACTCTGGAGAACTCAGACCTTAAAGAGGATTCACTGAGTTCATCTGCTCCAGAGTCCTGGTCCTGGCAGGAGCGCAGTGTGATGTCACTTTTGGGAATGGAGATTTCATATGGGATGGAGATGCTGCCGTGGTGTTCACTGCTGGGGCCTGAAAGGACGTACGACATCTGCTGTTAAACATTTCACCAAAGCAAAAGTGTCTACGGCTTCTGTTGAACAGTTATGAGCAGCTATGAGCACTTTATTTACTACACCGTCAGTGTAACATCAATGAGCACTCAGACTTACAGCTGAGAACACTACAAGACCATTTAAATAACCAAAACATTCAAATCACAAATCTATCAAGTTTTTTGATCACATTAAGCCTTTTAAAAAAATTGCCAAAACCACAGAAGCAATCAATCAATCAATCCACCCGGCATCAATGTTGATGTTAAAATCAATACGGGAGAAATATTTACATTGAAAAGGAACTGGAAAGGCTACAGATAAAGAGATGTAATCAGAAACATACACCACTGATGTGTTTTAATTCAAATTTAAATTCTCATGTGTTTATAATATTAAGCTTTGGTTGTTCCAGATTCAATGTTTATGCAAAATTAATGTTTCCAAATGAAAAAAATCTACATTACATATCTGGAGAGAAGGGGAAACAGGCACAATTGCCATATATTTTGCCGTAAAAAGTTTGGCCAGCAACTTCGTCCCAGTTTTTATTTTTGGCCCAATGTGAATTCGAGTTTGACACCCCTGTACTACACCGTCAGTGTAACATCAATGAGCACTCAGACTACTTACAGCTGAGAACAGTACAAGACCATTTAAATAACCAACACAATTTTACCCATAACCACTTCTATGTAGCTTCATTAACTCATCTGCACTGCTGGGAATCGAAACCCGACCCCATGGTCGGAAAATGACCTGCGCCACCAAACACTAACAGGACGGTATTTTTATGTAGCATTTACTCAACCACAGCTACGCAGAGCTCTGTGCAGATTATAAAGTCAACATTTCACTTTTTATAGTCTCAGTAAAATCAAATCAAATCCAGAATGCCTTATATGAATTTGCTGTTTGGTTAATGCAGTGAGTAGAGACACGACACAACCTGAAGGACTCACATGTTACGCTGATTTATCGAGTCAAAATAAGTACATTTTCATTTTCTTAGTCATTTAACTAAAATCTACCTCATGATGTCATTAAGTCGAATCAAAACCAAGATCCACAATAGTAACGTTTGAGCGAATACAGAACGTCCCACGCTGGTTAGGCGTTAACTGAAGTGAATGACTTGTGATTTGTAACCACTCACCAATGAGGATGTTACTGGTGGAGGTGTGGCGCTCTCTGGCAGGCATGGGTTCACTGCACACACTGCTGCTGCGGCTGCTGGTTCTAGAAGAGCACGGGTCGTTGGGGTAAATGGTGATGCTACTGGTCATCTTGCTCATGGTCACAACTGGTTTAGTGGAGATTTTGGGTTTGCCGTTGGTTGACAGAGGTTCTGAGATCATCATTTCCTTCCTGTCAATCTCCACAATGGCCGGTTTGATGACAGCCCTCGACCTCAGCGCCTCACGCGGGCTACACATTCGCTGGATTTCAATCCCTGAAGCAGTGTGTGTGGGCGCCCCGTCTGCTAATGGTGTTCTGCTGTGGAGATCCTCATCAAATGAACTCCTGGAGGACGAGCCTTCTGAATGCGAGTCATGGACATGGGAGTATCTGGAATATCTGGAGGTTGAGGTCCTGCTGCTTA